CCCCAAAACCCCAAAACCCCAAAACCCCAAAACCCCATGAATTATACACTTGTTGAATATTTTACGTAGACTTTTGGGACCTAAATTCAGAAGGCACGCTTGCCTCACTCTGATCCTGCTCTTCTCTTTCATGAGTCTCTTTCATGACAGGCAGCTTATTGACAAAACTGCTGGATACTTTGTCAAACTGACCTAGTTTTATGTTCATGCTTTCTGCTCTCATAATTTCTTCAAACTTATCGTCCTGTTGGTCACTGACATCTACCTCTTTGAGGGTTTCAGCCATTTTATCATAGTGGTCTAGAAGTAAGGAGAACTGTACTGTTATCATAGATCGTCCCTTTCCTTTGTATTTCATCTGGAGCATTCCAGTCTGATCCTTCCTTATTCTGAAGATTCTCAATGCTGTCCTCTTTGTTTGGTGGTGATTCTGGCTTGGATTCCTAAGATTTTAGACAAGCTTATCTCAAGGTTTAATTGACAACTCATCTACCGTCTGTGTTAGTGGTATAGACACATGACCTTTTCAACTTACATTAGATGCGAAGAAACCAGTCTTAGTGTTTTCTTCCCTTCTATCATGAGTATCCTTCTTATCTTCAATATAGCCACTTTCTTGTCCCTCGAGGATCCCAGTCTGGCTATCGTCAAGATCCTTGATCTGAGATTTCTCCAGAAGAGCACTGCTCTTCTGGAGACTCGCAGTATCACTATCTTTGCGAATAGATTTTTGACTAAGATTTATCAAGTACACTTACCCTGACTCAAGAGTTTCGTCCATCAAAGTGTTTTTCTTAATAAATGATCTTGTTTGGCTATTATTCTATAATATCAGAGATGACTGTACAGAGGCATCGAGGGATTTCTGAATCAGAGATTTTTGAGAAGTGTGTCCTTCATGCCTGCTGGAATTTCCATGTCTGGAGATATGGATGCTCTCCTTATCAGGTTCCACCTTTTGCTCTATTCTCCCAACTTGTTGGTTCATTGATGGACCCTGGTTAGCAATACCAAAAGTTTCTCTTTTGTATGATTCTGATACTTCTTCAGCTATTTTAAAAGTTATGTCATTATTCAAGAAATATTTTCCTTCCTTCAAATTTACTTTGATATACTCTAGAATATATTTCTCTGTAGGATATCACCACTCTCATATATTAAAAAATAGGATTCAAGGAGTCTATTCCACTAAAATGCAGTTTTAGGCCAAAGCTGGTAGTCCATTCTCCCTTTCACAAAGCATGCAGTTTCTTTGCCCCAATTTAGATGACTAATTTTCAGATTATCTAAGACATTCAATCCCTGGCAATTACAAAACGAGCTTGTTACCTTTCTCTTTAATTTCTTCCTTTTTAGTAACCTTGGAACTCTGCTCAGACTGTGATTGGTCTTCGATCAGAGGAGCAGAGGTCTTGACTTGGTCATGACTTTCTCCTTCAGTGTATTCTTTAATCCTAGATGCTTTCTTGTTCCTAATCTGACCTGGCCCAGATAGGATTAGCCTAGGAGAAGAACTCTCTTTGAAAATGGGGGATACCTCTTTCTCTTCTTCTTCATCATCATTAGTCCTTAAGCTTTGTTCTTTGTAGGAGTTTTTATTGCCAAATTGGGGCTTAGAGGCTAATACGTAGCCGATTTGTTCCACCTCTGGTTGTCTAACAGAATCTTGCACAAATTTGGTCGACATTGTCTCTAGCGTGAACATCAGATCAATATTGAAACTGTGAAAAACTTCTTCAAGGTCTTGGTAGTCTGTCAGGTTATCCTCATTCACCTCATTTTCGTTAAGAGGCAAAGCCTTAACGAAAATGAGGTCTTCGATTCTAGAAAGATCTTCAAAGTGCTCTGCATCATGCACCTTTTTACTCACTGTGATAAGGACGGACTGAGAAGGCTTTAGAAAGCCTCATTTTGGATGAATATTGTAGTTTTCCTCTCCGCCAACAGAGAAGTTACTGAAAGCATAAAAAGCAACTATTGTGTTATTGCTAGGGTTTACTCCTTCAGAAGTTACGTTCTTGAGTCCAAAGAATCCGCAGTAATCTTCTTGATTATCGCTTTCAATATCAGGCCCGATCAGTACAACATCTGAGGTTGGATCATCGTCTACTAAAAATACTCAGAATTGTTCCTAAACTTACCGACTATCAATTGTAAGAAGTTAGAGCCGACCTTGAGGGAAGAACTAAACAAGAACATGCTTTCTTGATCTGTTTCTGTATCGCTTCCTGAATCTTCCTATATAATTGAAATTGCTAAAGTTAAGACATTTCTACATTGCCCAAGTTTTACAATACTCCTAGCAAACTAGATTATTTATAATATCAAAAGAGCTTCTTACTTTGTTAGAGATCGCTTTTTGCCTATAATAAAGCATTAAAACATAGGAAATATATCAAAATTTATTAACTTTTCAAGAAAAAAGTAATTTTAAAAGCCCGAAGAGAACATAGAGGATTTATTTAGGCATTTATTGCCCAAATTTCTTCAGATATCACTCTAAAATACCTTTTAGACACTATTTTGGCATGTGGGAAGGCAGATTCCTTGGTCATCTTAGCATCGAACAGATGCTCCTCACTTTGATATGATTGGTGGTCCATCATTTTATTTTTAGAAAATTTTTAATTATAAAGGGGTTTTGGGGTTTTGGGGTTTTGGGGTTTTGGGGTTTTGGGGTTTTGGGG